TACAAGGTAAGTGATTCCCACCTATTACAAATTAAACAAATGGTTTGTAAAAGGATTTAAACATGGAAATAGTAGAAATTATGGGAGTTTTGGTAGAAAACCTAGAATTTGGTATTTTGGATTTTGACCACGAAATTGGACGTGGAATTGAGAATAAATTATATATTTGAGTTCGTGGTATTATGGGCAAGGTTTATCTTTAAAAATTTTTGGAATCCGGGTACGCGGGCCCGAGGGTTGTCTTTATCGACTTTTCGAGCGGAGTTGGGAATTGTTCAAATTGATTAATTATGGGTATTAGAGTATATTTTGATTGGTTTGCACCTTGTTTGACTAGTTTTGGATCGACGGGCATCGGTTTGAGGTGTTAGAGAGGCTTTGGAGCCGGTTATGGAACTTAGAGGGAGGTAAGTCTCCTGTCTAAACTTGTGAGGGGGAATCTACCCCTAGGTGATAATTATTGTTATGTGTAACTAGTTGTGGGTGCTACATACGCACGAGGTGACGAGAGTCTGTGCGTACCTATAACATGTTTATGTCCGGGTAGACTTAGGATCTTATCATGTAATATTTGAATTATTTGAGCTCATTTTGCCGGCTTAATTAATTGAAGTTATAAATGAAATTGATTTAGAAATAAATATATGTATACTAGGCCAAGCCTTAACACTTTGAGTTGTGGGCGAGTTATTTGATAAACGGTAAAGATTATATCCATTTTGTACTCATGTACGGTATTGTAAACACGTGTCTCTTAATTCGGTAACTACCTTCCTTTTCTTATGGAGCGGGCCAAACACATAGAAGATATCACGGTCGTAGACAACGTAAAGGCCGTGCAAAGGCTAACTGGGCGCATAACCACTCTAGGACGATTTATCTCGAGGTCATCCGACAAGAGCCACTGATTCTTTGCACTGTTGAAAAAGAAGAATAACACTCATGGACTCCTGAATGTCAACGAGCTCTGAAGGAGCTCAAAAGATGCTTATCGAGCCCATCGCTGCTTCGCACACCAAAGACAGATGAACACCTATACTTGTACTTGGCAGTCTCGGAGATAGCAGTAAGTGGAGTCCTAGTTCGGGAAGAACGAGGTACGCAATTTCTGATCTATTATGTTAGTAGGACCTTAGGTGAGGCAGAAACTAGGTACCCTTACCTAGAGAAACTGGCGCTCGCCTTACTAAGCACATCCATGAAATTAAAACCATACTTCCAATGCCACCCCATATGTGTCGTAACAACTTACCTGTTAAGGAACGTTATGCATAAGCCCTAACTCTCAGGCCGATTGGCCAAATGGGTCATGGAAGTAAGTGGTTATGATATTGAGTACCGGCCCCGGACCGCCACTAAGTCACAAATTTTGGCAAATTTCGTGGACGACTTTACACCGACCTTAATACCCTAGGTCGAAAGAGAGTTATTGATTAACTCAGGGACTTCTTCGGGAATCTGGACCCTCTTCACGGACGGCGCCTCAAACGCGAAAGGGTCCGAGCTTGGAATCGTACTAAAGCCACCGACATGTGATATAATTAGGCAATCTATTAAGACTGTGAAATTGACTAATAACGAGGCCAAGTATGAGGCCATGGTGCAGAGGTGATCTAAGCCAAGTGTGACTCACTCCTTGTGGTAAACCAGGTCAATGGGACATTCGAGGTAAGAGAAAAACGAATGCAGAGATATTTGGACAAGTTACATGTGACATTACATCGATTCAAAATGGACTTTGAAACATGTACCTCGGGATCAAAACAGTGAAGCTCATGCCCTCGCTAACTTGGGATCGTCGGTCAAAGACAACGAGATCAACTCGGGAGAAATTGTACAGCTTATGAGATCGGTGGTGGAACAAGGCCACACCGAGATCAATTCAATGAGCCTAACTTGGGAATGGAGGAATAAGTACGTGGAATATCTCAGGACCATAAAACTGCCCTCGGACCCAAAAGAATCAAGGGCCCTACGTACAAAGGCAGCCAGGTTTAGTTTATCCAAGGATGGAACCTTAGTCAGAAGAACGTTCAATGTCCTGTTGGCGATACGTTTGGCACCAAGGATACCGAATACATTTTGAGGGAAGTCCACAAAGGTACCTGTGGAAATTACTCGGGCACTGAATTATTGGTTCAAAAAATAATCAGAGCCGGTTACTACTGGATCGACATGGAAAAAAATGCAAAGGAGTTCGTTCAAAAATGCGATGGATGCCAAAGGCATGCTCCTATGATTCATCGAGCAGGAGAGTCGCTACATTCGGTCTTGTCACTATGGCCATTCATGAAATGGGGGATGGACATCGTTGACCCCCTTCTACGGGCACCCAGTAAGGACCAATTTATTTTATTATGGCTGACTATTTTTCTAAATGGGTGGAAGCACAGGCATATGAAAATTTCAGAGAAAAAAAGTCATTGATTTTATCTGGGATCACATTATATGTCGATTTGGAATACCGGCCGAGATTGTGTGCGACAACAGAAAACAGTTTATTGGCAGAAAGTAAGCAAGTTTCTTGAAGACCATAAGATCAAAAGAATCTTATCCACTCCTTACCATCCTAGTGAGAACAGACAAGCAGAATCCACTAACAAAACCATAATCCAAAACCCCAGAAAGAGGTTGATCGACACCAAAGGAAAATGGAAAGAAATGCTACCTGAGGTCCTATGGGCGTACTGTACAACCTCGAAGTCCAATACCGGATACACACCATTTTCTTTGGTTTTACGGCACCGAAGATTTAATACCAGTCGAGGTCAGAGAACCAAACATCAGATTCTAACATGCAACAAAGGAATCGAATGACGAGGCAATGAGTACAAGCCTGGAACTATTAGATGAAAGGCGCGAAAAGGCCCTTGTCCGGTTGGCCGCCCAAAAACAGCATAATGAGAGATATTATAATTAAAGGTCCAACCTTTGATATTTCAATACTGGAGACTTAGTATTAAGAAAAGTTACAGTGAACACCCGAAACACGAACGAAGGGAAATTGGGACCAAACTGGGAAGGACCGTACCAAATTATCGAGATCAACAGTAAAGGATCCTACAAGCCCGGAACAATGAACGGCGAGCAATTACCGAATAACTAGAATATATCTCACTTAAAATGATATTATTGCTAAGGTACGACCCCAATTCTTTCTTCTATTTTTCCTTTTTACATTTCAAATTGACACTTGCAGGCAACCTACAAAGGATGATATGAGATCCTAGGCCTGAAAGCACGCGTTGCACTCTTTTTCCCTTGAACTGGTTTTGTCCCAAATGGGTTTTTCGGCAAGGTTTTTAACTAGGAAACAAGTAAACGTGCTAACTTAGAATCGAAGGCTGGTATGAACCAGTGACAATGATCACGACAGCATTCGAGGCCTCTTTTCGGTCAACCTCGAACACTGGGGTGGGGGGAGGGGCAATATCCTCGAATATCAAATTTAATAAGGCATTTCGACTTCGTGATTGAAGGGCCTCGATCAACAAGATTTATTATAAGGGCCAAATGGTCAAATGAACCGTGCCCGCTCAAATCACTCGAGCCCTGGCACAAAACGTGTATACATGTACAACTATTATGCACATGAATAAAAAAAGAGACTCTTCTTTGCATATAAACATCTCATCCTCAAAAACGTTACTTGCATTTCTCAAGGAATTTCCTACACCTGATCCCCTAAAGATATCAAGCCCAAGGGCCACCTTAATCCGAGTTCGAACATTCACTTCACTCGGAGACTGTAGGCATTGCGTAACTTAAAAGTCTAAGGCCGTTCTGATTTAAAAACACTCGAGGGCATGAATCTTATTTGGCATTGCCCGAATTAAAAGGCTAAGGCCAATCCGAGTTAATAAAACTCGAGGGCATGGAGCTTATTTGGCATTGCCTGAATTAAAAGGCTAAGGTCATTCCGAGTTAAAAACACTCGAGGGCATGAAGCTTATTTAGCATTGCCCGAATTAAAAGGCTAAGGCCGTTGCAAGTGAAAAACACTCGAGGGCATGAAGCTTATTTGGCATTGCCCCAATTAAAAGGCTAAGGTCATTCCGAGTTAAAAACACTGGAGGGAATGAAGCTTATTTGGCATTTTCCAAATTAAAAGGCTAAGACCATTCCGAGTTAAAAATACTCGAGGGCATGAAGCTTATTTGGCATGCCCGAATTAAAAGGCTAAGGCCGTTGCAAGTTAAAAACACTCGAGGGCATGAAGCTTATTTAGCATTGCCCGAATTAAAAGGCTAAGGCCATTCTGAGTTAAAAACCCTCGAGGGCATGAAGCTTATTTGGTATTGCCCGAATTTAAAGGCTAAGGCCATTTCGAGTTAAAAACACTCGAGGGCATGAAGCTTATTTAGCATTGCCCGAATTAAAAGGCTAAGGCCATTCTGAGTTAAAAACCCTCGAGGGCATGAAGCTTATTTGGTATTGCCCGAATTTAAAGGCTAAGGCCATTTCGAGTTAAAAACACTCGAGGGCATGAAGCTTATTTGGCATGCCCGAATTAAAAGGCTAAGGTCGTTCCGAGTTAAAAATACTCGAGGGCATAAAAGCTTATTTGGAAGCGCCCGAACTAAAAAGGATACGACCATACTAATACGGCTCGGAGACATCCGAGACTCGTAACAAAAACAAGGCCTTTGAAAACATCTTATAGCAGGTTTTAAAAGCTATTCTTGAAAATCTATAAACCTAAATTATTATTGGGGGAAAGTTTTCGGTAACACCGAATCCCTACAATGCCTTAAGTCAAAGTAAAGGCAATATTTGTTCGAACCTTCGAACACAACCTAACCATTTCATGCTAAGGAATTTCGACCTTTGCGAATACAAATAAAGCAAAGGAAAGATTCAAAAACTTTGAAAAGGAAAGGCCTTATATATATATCAAAACTTTCTTTACAAGGGCTGAATAGCCCCGATGAATATTTTTTACAACAGGTCGAACGGCCTCAACAAAAGACCGTACAAAAGGTAAAAAGACCCTAAATGGCCTAATATTCATCAGGGGCTACATCATCGCCTACAAGGTCTTCGCCACCGTTAGACCCACCTGACTCTTCAGACCTCTCAGAATCCTCCTCGGGATAAGCCAACTTCCGGGCCTTGGCTTCGCAGATCTTGGCATTCTCAATTTCAGCCAATATATCAAAACTCTAAGCATGGACTCCCTCGAGGGCCTCCCCTAAGGATTGCCACCTCGTATGCTTTACCATGTGTCTCGCTTATTCCTAAATGGCCTCAGCATCGTTCTTGAACTGGTCCACTTTTTCATCAGCCTCGGTCTTGGCCCGACAACCTCTGACTTAGTCGCTTCGAGCTCCTTGGCCAAATTCTCTTGACCAGAAATAGTTCAAGCCAATTGAGAATGGAGCCCCTCGATCGTATTGGTCTGCACCGAATATTTCTCCTTTATAGCCCGAAGTTGAACCTCAGCCGAAGCCAACTGCGCCCGGGTAGTCTCTTTTTCTAAGGCCAGGAGGTCCATATTTTTCTTCCATTTTTTGGCCTCAGCCTTCACCATGTCAACCTCCACCTGGAGTTTCCCGATCTGCTCAAGTCTCTGTTGAACCTGTGTGTTCGAGTCGTTAGCCAATGTGTCTGAATCATCATCACTAAGTTCGAATATTCGTATAACCTGCTCGACAAAACAGGCATGCTCCTTCCGAGCCGCTTCTAAATCGGCCTGGAGCTTCTCACTAAAAAGCTTGTAAGCATCTTTCTTCTCGGCAAGATCCCGAGTCTCGGCCTTATGATGCTTGAACTCCTCCCGATATCGGAGAAAGGCCTCTTGATGAAGCACCGAGGCCTGCAAGCACAAAGGAAAATGTTAGGATTATTCATTATTTAATCTAAGTACATAATGAAAGGATATTCGAAATTACCCGATTCAGCACCTGTTGAGCTTTGTTGAACAGGCATGGCGCTTCCACCTCGTTCATTCTAGCTTGATCCTCTTCGGTCACCAAGCACCGAAGGTAACTAGAAATCCCCATCGGGGTAGAGAGAACTCGGGCGTCCTCCGGAATGGACATAAAAATTACACGTCTCCGAGTAGGATCAACACTCGGAGCGGGGAACTGATTCACTAATTTTGGGGCTCGAAGAAGACCCGCCAGCTCCCCGGGACGGTATATTCTTTAGTACCAGTAAGTCACCCAATCCGGTGACATCCACCGAAGTAGTAGTTTCGAAGAAATTATGGAAAGAATTGGCTGCTCCTTGGCCCCTTCGCCGGGGTTACCTTTCAATGTGTGAGCCTCATTTATCATAGAGTCGGTAAACGAAGGTGATCTAGAGAGATCGATCACCCCAAGCACCTCCTTAGGCACATTACCTTCCGATCGAGAAATACCGATCACCGTCTCTTTTTCGACCTCCCTAGCCCATGACAACACGGTCTAGACCCTCCCTAGTTCGGATACCTCATCCACTGCTTCTTCTACGGCCTCCATGACTTGAGGCAGTTCGGAACCGCTTCTCACGCTGGTCACCAATTCAGAATCTTCTTCTTCTTCTTCTGACTCATCCCTCAACCAATGGAGTGAGTCCAATGAGAGTTCTCAAGCACTGGCTTTCTTAGGTTTGCGTGCTAGCCGCTTCCTCGGTCTCTTCTTTTCAGGGCTTGAGGAACTCGAAGCTTGTCTTCTTTTTTTCTCTTTATCCTGCTTCGGAACAAGGGGATCGGCATATATATCGTCATCGGCTGATGGGGGCCTTATTCCGACATTTTTTGGTAGACCTACAAAGAGAAAATAAAACTATTCAGAAATCGATGATGTGAAAGTAAGATCAAATATAACTTAGAGAAGAAATTCTCACCATGATTACGGGCCTCCCATTGACCTTTTTAAAGCTCATGCCATAAGCGCTCGGAGTAAGGTCTCTATGTCACAATGCCCTCGACCTACTCCTTGAGTCAAGGAACGACATTCGATATCTAGGCAGCAACTGCATCATCACATAACATCGATGAAAAGGGATGAAAAAGAAAAGTAATAAAAGAAATCTTGAAGGCGAAGTTATACTTACATTTCATATTTCATTTCTCAGGAAACGACATATCTGCTACCGGGATCAAGTCCGAGGTCCTCACTCGAACAAATCGGCCTAACCAGCCCCGGTCCCGATCCTCGTCGATGTCTGAGAATATGGCCTTAGTGGCTTGGCATACGAGCTTGATTAATCCCCCTCGGTAAAGTTGAGGACTGTACAAACGCATGAGGTGGTCGATAGTAAATGGACACCCCTCGAGATTGCTCACGAAGAAACGCAGAAGAATTACAATCCTCCAAAATGAGGGGTGAATCTGCTCGAGAGTTATCTCGTACCTTTTGTAAAAGGCTATGATGATTGGGTCTAAGGGACCGAGCGTGAAAGGGTAAGTGTGAACACTTAAAAAAGCCTCCACGTAGGTGGTGATCGATTCCTCGAGGGTAGGGATCACAACAAGTTTATCTTCCCAGTGGCAGTCCTCTTTGACCTTATCGAGGATACTGGCGGTAATAGCGCATATATACCTCGAGATCAGCTCGCACCTACCCGGTACCAAGTGGGTGTTCTCGATCTTAAAGTCAGCCCCGGTTGGGCATCCCGAAGGGACAAACGACTTTAGATGGGGTTCCGGTATTGGTTCCTCAGTAGCAGCAGGTGAAACATTTTCCGATGGTTTCGAGGAAGAAGAGTTTTCTTTTTGAGGAACAGATTTTAAAGTGTTTGCCATTTTTTCTAAATAGAAAGAAGAAGATGTTGGTAAAAGAGGAATTTAAATTTGCGGGTGACTTATGAAGAAATTTCAAAGAACTCACAAGGAAGGAAGTTCTTAAGCTTAAAACTAGAAAACCAGAAGATGAAGATGGTAAAGTTCTCTTAGAACGCAAGAGCAAGAGTTGGAATGGAAAAGGTTCTAATGAATGGATTGAAGGATATTTATAGTGTTCCTAAACGGCGGTTCACATCATGATGGTTCACATCCCAAGATGGCCGACCATTAACTGACATACATTTAATGCCTCGAAGACTGAACCGACTGGATGTTTCCACTATTCTTATCACTTAAGTCATGAATTCATCGTCATGTTTTATCGAAGTAAGAATCGAAAGCTTGAATCGTTTCCCATCATTTGCTCTCCAAAAAATAAGGGGATTTTGGTGTCATATCTGTGTCACCTGCATCATGATACATCGAAGTGAGAATCTGAGGCTCATATCGTTTCTCGTCATCTACTCTCCGAAAAACGAGGGGACTATATGTATACGGGTAAAACCAAGCTCGATATTCGATCGAGCTTCCGAACTCCTTGATTAGGCCAGGGCTGAAATATCTATGATCGGGTGAAGTCGAGCTCAAAGATCGGCACGTGGTAATTATGATCGAACCCAAAGCACTATCAAAATTAGCCATTGAAACCATCAGATTTGCCCTCGAGTGTGCCGAAGGCGTGACCGGTCCTGTTCCTAACAGTCTCGAAGAAAGCTTTGCCAACTCATCCGACAGGGGACCGTAATTCTCGCCATTAACCAGTCATTGTGGCGGAAATCACGGAACAACTCAAAAAGGGGACCAACGGTCAGCAAATCAAGGACTTTTGCCTTTTATAGAACAATAAAATAATATCTCAAAGGGNTTTTTCACCAATAAGACTCTCTCATTTTATTCTTCTCCTTTTGTTGTATCAGACCCAAATAAATCCATCCTCCCATTTTGAACCGCTTTGCCGATTGATTAGAAGGACTTGAACAAGGTTTGGGGTGAAAAGAATTTGGATTGAACTACAACTTTGGAACCTTTTGGGCGGGATTATTGCTGAATCGTTATAACTTCTGCNAGGGACTTGACAATTCATAAAATATATTGTAACTTATATCAAAAGGTAATATACTGTTGTTTCTATCTTTGTCATAGTCTATTGCACTTCAACATCAATAATATTATCAGTTATATTATTTCTAGCTCGGGGAAAATTAATCTCACAATTGCTCAAATTTGCGTGGTTTACATTTACCTTTCTATCTTTTATTTTTCATAATTGATCTGATTTATCACTCTGTATCAAATTATATCATGTATCTTTAAAATCACGTACAAATTCAATTGTTATCCGATTTTTAGGGTAAATAATTATAAAACTGTAAATTGGATTTTCCTTGTTCTCTCTTTAACTCTGATTAGAAGTATCAGTGAGAAGAATCTGGAGGTCAAATGTGAGGTCCATGATAATGATGAGGACGACTGGGCAGGTAATGGTAGTACTAAAATTCTTTTTACTTGCCAAGAAAAAGATTATTTTGCTGCTTTTTACTCATGTTAGCATATTTGCACCATCTTTCACTCTGATTAAAATTATTAGTTAACCAATAAATATGTGCAAAAAAAACAACCACTAGCAATTCAATGTTTTTTGCAACAGTTTAAGCCATGGAGATTATTCATTACAGATATGAATTTTTTTTTATCATATTCTTATTTATCTTGATTTTATCTGCAATGGATAATGTAATTTTTTTTATATTGCTTAGCTGGTCATATTTATAGTTTATGTACCATTTTATGGACCTTTTCTTATAAGGTAAACGGATAATGAATGAACCTATAGACACTGCTAACTATGAAGGTTGCAAGTATGGTTTTTGAAATATTGTGTGTTAATCCTTGAGAGATACATGTTACAAGCTACCTTTATGCCTCTTTTGTTAATAGCTTTTGACTTCTCCAGTACGGAAAATATGATCTAAAGGATATCTCCATACTCTGCTTGCGCCACGCATAAGTAGTCGTCGTTAGGGTTCTACATAGGTCGGGTTGATTCGAATTTTTCAATTACTAAATCAAATCAATGGTGTCGGATTTTTAAATTTATAAACCAAACCAAATCAATAAAGTCGGGTTTTTCAATCTTGATTTTTCTCGGATTTTTCGATTTTTTTTCGGATTTTCGGATTTTTTTCCCGATAAAGTCGTAATAAAGCAAAATATGTAACTTGTGCTCCAAATATTTATTTTAGTTATAGTAGGGTACAACTATATAATATATTTTCCAATAAAATAAAATAATAATATGAGATGAGTCATAACATTGTACTAAAATATTCAATAACAAAGATAATAAAATCACACAAAGAAAATGTTACTAATTAATACACCATAATAAAAATTAACATAATCTAAAAATACTATATAGATCATGCTAAAATAAGTACAACTAATAAGTACTAGTATTAATTACACAACTAAGCACTAAAGAAAAAGATAAACTAGGTTATACATTTTCACTATAAATCAATGCAAAACTAAAATATAGATATCCAACACTATTGTCATTCCTAGTATTGAATTGAATTTCTTTTATTAGCATTAGTATTGATTTGAACTTTATTTGACTTACCACCTTTATGAGTTATAAAATTTATTGGACCATTCAAAAATGTTAAGTCCAAACTTTAAATAATACGTTTAAAGATAAAATTGTAAACAAGTTTAAGAAATATTTATAAATTATATTACAATAAATATTTATATTTTTAAAAATTGTATAAATGTAATGTCAGGTTGGTTTAGTTTCGGTTTGACTTTTTTTAGTTAAAACTAAACCAAACCAATTATGGTCGGGTTTTTCTTCCCAACACCAAACAAATCAAACCAAACCACAATCGTTTTTTTTTTTCGGTTTGACTCGGATTATCGGATTGGTGCAGTTTATCGGTTTTCTCTTTACACCCCTAGTTGTCATGTTCACTAAGAGATGTAAAATTTTATTTGAGTGCTTTAAATTATTTTTTTGATATGTATTTGCTGTGAGGGGTCTTTGAAGCAATATATATGCTCATGAAGTCTTTATAACATCCTCAATCTATTACTTGCAGTTCTATATGCCCTATGGCAAGCAATGCATTACTACTACCGCTCTTGCTATGTTATAGGACTATGTTGTTGCTAATTTATTTATAAGAATGTTGTATTATATGTCATGGTGCTCATTTGATGAGTCTTTGTCGTACACTTTCAACTACAAAATTTGTTATTTCTATTCCAGGTTAGAAAAACAATGTTATAGGTGGTATTGTCGTGCACAATAAACAATTTTTGGTTGGAAAGATGTGTACCAATTATGGAAATACCGGAGTTTCATTGCAATCATGGTACTTTTCTCTCTTCCATATTGGACGTTACAAAACAATATATTTCCTTCACTAAAAAGCTGATAGGCATTTATTTGATTTTCCGAAGGTAATAACACTTATCTTATGTTGGTTTTCTAGGATTGGTGGCAGGTGGAGAAAGACAACTAAGCTTGGTCTATTGCTTATAAAGGATGCTGGATTAGACTGTTCTTTACGTTCTCTAATATGCAACCATTTCTGATGTTATATTTGCGTAGTTGACAATGCTTTTGGTGAATTGGATAGGACTAGAGACCGCCAATGCTCTATGTTATCCTATGCAAACATTTTGCGGAGAAATCTTCTATAATGTACATACACGTGAAGGAAAATTATTAGTTTTGGGGCACCGATTTCCTATAATTTATCGACAAGATAGGGTTGCTCTAGTGGTGAGCACCCTCCACTTTCAACCAAGAGGTTGTGAGTTCGAGTCACCCCAAGAGCAAGGTGGGGAGTTCTTGGAGGGAGGGAGCCGAGGGTCTATCGGAAACAGCCTCTCTACCCCAGGGTAGGGGTAAGATCTGCGTACACACTACCCTACCCAGACCCCATTAGTGGGATTATACTGAATTGTTGTTGTTGTTGTATTGACTAAAGCAGATTTATTCTTTGAACGATTATACCTTTCTATTGTACTCTAAAATTTTATGTTGGGCCCGTGCTATGCACGGGCAAAACCTGCTAGTCTTTACTTATAAGATTGTCATCTTCCTAGTAATTAATTGTCCAACATTACGCATGCATGATACTCCTCTTTATATTTGTTTGGTACCTTAGCTTCTGCTACTTATTTCTAACCAAACTGCAACGTCACAATGTGTGAGAGAAGGCAGAGAGACAGAATAGAGAGATGGCAAAAGGGGTACTAGAGGTCTTGCTGGTGGAAGCAGAAGGCATCAAAGATAAACACAAATGTGTTGGTATTTATTTTTTTTAGCTCCAAGTTTTTTATTTTATTTATGTGCCTACATTTTTTAAAAATTATATAACAGTGATTAATTTGTGCATCTCGATTATTTTGCCGGATACATATGACTTTCCACCCGCACAAATACCTCTCACCAGTGGCGAAACTAAGAATTTTTTCAAAGGTGTTCAAATTTAAAAGAAGTGAAAAAGATTTCCGACAAAGGGTGTTCAATATGTGCTATTGTTATGTACTAGACAATTAAGAGCAATTATTGACGAGTAATAAGAAGAACGAATCAAAGGTTTTATTCAATGAGCAATTCAATCGGTTACATTGATGATGTACATTACTCCATAGCATAACCTGTGAGTACGAGAGAAGAAGAAGAGAGTAAGGTTAGAGAGAGTAGGGGGTTGAGACGAAGAGAGAGAAAGTGGTTAAGAAGTTGTAATAGAATTACCAAAAATTGTCTAAGTATTCAGCTCCCCTTTTGATGTCTTTAATAAGCTGCTCACGTATGGGCCTAAATGATATATTGGTATTGGGCCGTCCAATACATCTGTTCTACTAAGCCCAACGACTTACTCTCTAGCTTATTAGTGGACTTAGTCTCTTATCTTTTTTAATCCCCTCTGGTCACGTGTCTCAATCTCGACCCTCTATTTACAATATTGAGACTTATTTCATCTACTTTCCTAATTCTTCACCTACTTTCCCATTTTATACCTAGTAAAATTCCAAACCCTAACAATCCCTTCCCCTTTGAAAATGACCTTGTCCTCAAGGTTTCTGTTGAGCCACAAATTCTGAAAATCGATTCTTGATATAACCCCAATCGTCCCATGTCGCTTCTTTCACACTCAAGTTAGACCACTGAATCAAAACCTTCATGTTGACCCCATTTTCGACCTTGACCATTTTCTTTGAAGAATTGCCAGTGGCTGAATCATGATCTGTCCGTCGGTGTCACAACTAGGGGGTTGACGGTGAGTAACAACAGCTGGTCCAACTCGACGCTTCAGCTGGGAAACATGAAAAACAAGGTGAAGATGGGATAAGCAATGGCTGTAGTAACCCTGGAGAGTGAATATTTTCAGTCTTGATCCTCTGACAAACATCACACTCACTCACTCACTTGAACATCTCTGCCTTCATATTTGGCCAATAAAAAATCAGTTGTAACCTTCTATAGGTGCCCTGCTGGCCTGAATGTCCACCAATTGCAGAGTGATGCATAACATGCAGTATCTTATTTCTTAATTCAGTACTTCTGCCCACATAAATCTTCTGCTTGTATCTTATGATGCCTTGGTATAGAGAATAGTAAAGTCTGCTGTCTAGAGAGACTATCAGTTCCCCAAGTAATTATAGAGCTATGGGGTCACCCTTATAGCTATTTCTCACTTCTTGCAACCAAGTAGGTTGTGTTGTAGAGATAGCCATAAATGTAGGTTTTTCCTCGTGTCTCCTTGACAGTGCATCTGCTACCTTATTATCTACTCTTTTCTTGTATTGAACTCCATACTCCAACCCTAGGAGTTGGCTAACCGTTTCTGCTGTAATGATGTAATAACCTTCTGTTCTATTAAGAACTTCAGACTTTGACGATCAGTTTTCACAATGAAATGGCCTCCTTGTAAATAATGTCTCCATTTGTCCACAGCTGATAAGACAGTCATGTACTCTTTATCATAGGTAGAAAGTCACTTGTGTTTTGGGGATAGAGCCTTACTAAAATAGACAATAGGTCTTCCCCTTTGCATTAGGACTGCTCCAATCCCAATAACAAAAGCATCAGTTTCCACCACAAATGGCTTAGTGAAGTCAACTAGTGCCCACGTTGGCACCGTAGACATGGCTACTTTAAGCTGCTGAAATGACTCATCTGCCTCTTCTGTCCACTGAAATGAGTTCTTCTTGAGTAGGTTAGTGAGTGGCCTACTAATAAATCCATAATTTTTCACAAATCTTCTGTAATAACCAGTTAACCCTAGGAATCCCCTTAGTGCCTTTACAGATTTGGGTGCAGGCAATTCAACATAGCTTTCATTTTAGTAGGGTCAGTTGCCACCCTTTTTCCTGATATAATATGCCCCAAGTACTCTACCTTGTCTTGACCAAAAGCACACTTGGACAGTTTGGTATAAAGCTGCTCCTTCAATAGCACTTCTAGCACTTTCTGTAAATGCAAGACATGACTCTCATTGAATAACTATAAACTAGTATGTCATCAAAGAATAACAAAACAAACATCCTCAAGAATGGTTTGAACATATGATTCATAAGACTTTGGAATGTAGCAGGGGCATTGGTCAAGCAATAATTATGACCTTGAATTCATAGTGCTCCAAATGGGTCCTAAATGCAGTTATAAAAATATCAGTTTCTCCCATTCTTATTTGATGATACCCAGCCCTTAGATCAATCTTAGAATAGATGCAAGACCCACTAAGCTCATCCATTAGGTCATCTACTAAAGGAATAGGAAATTTATCCTTAATAGTCATCTTATTCAATTCCCTTTAATAAATACAAAACCTCCAACTGCCATATTTCGTTTTCACTAACAATATAAGAGAAGAAAAAGGTGAATGACTGGGTTGTATGATACCATTGTTGAGCATTTCATTCACTTGCTTTTCTATCTCATTCTTTTGGAAGTAATTGTACCTATAAGGCCTTATGCTGACTCATGATGCTTCAGGTTTCAATGGAATAAAGTGATCATGACTCCTCTTTGGTGGCAAAGATTTAGGTTCCACAAAAACTCCTGAAAATCTATCTAGCACTCTTTGGATCTGCTCAGGTATGCCTTCAGATTTTTTTGTTACACTGGTAGTAATAGTGAACAAGTGAGCCCACAACAGATGACCCTTTTTAAGAAGCTATTTGACACCACTAGAGGTTATGCTCTGTAGTTTCCCCTCTTCAAAATGCCCTTTCAAGTCTACTCTTTTCCCTTTCACACTCACCGACAATCTATTTTCTATGAAGTCAAATAGCATTGAATTGTGTTTTCTCATCCAGCCAACTCCCAATACTACATCACACCCTCCAATGTCCAACACTCTTAATTTGTGCTCAAAGACAATCCCATTAGTCTTCCACTTAAACTAAGGACAAAATTGATGACCCATTAGGTATCCTTCATTGGCAGCAACTACCCTCATGAGGACATCTACCTGTATGAGAAACCCTAGTTGTTTGGCTGTGTCACTGGCTATGAAGCTATTGGTACTGCCACTGTCAGCTAAAATGATTAGCACCTTCTTCCTATACACCCCTTTAAACTTGATAGTGGTAGAGGTGACAGTGTCAGATAAGGCATTGAGACTGATTGCCTCATCAAATACCTCCTCTGTTGGATCACTAGGCACCACCTCCTCTTCTTTATGCGGCTCTATCTCCTATCCTTCTTGATCAATGATGCTCTGCATAGTGTTCAACTGTTTGTTCTTACACACATGTCTAACAAAATATTTATCTCCATACTTATAACATTCTCCCCTGGCCCTCCTAGCTTTAAACAATTTAGTACCTGGATTAGCTGGGTTAGAATTATCCTTTTTTGGACTGAAAGAAGATGATCTTCCTCCTGAACCACTATTATTAGAAACATACTGTCCTCGCTGCCTGGCTCCACACATTCTGTTCTTCTTATACATAGAGTCCATCAACTCCTCCTTATGCGTAACTTTCTCTAGAGATTGACTCAAGGAAAAAGGGTCAAGCATTTTAACTGTATGCCTGATCTCTTCCTTAAGTCCTTCAATGAAGAACCCTTAAAAGGCCTTTAGATCTTCAAACTTTTCTAAGTATTCATTCACAGTACCAATTTGCTCAATTCTTTTGAATTGGCCGAGTAAGTTTATGTTACTATTATCAGAATTGTTAAACTCTTACAGATTTCTTCAACAAAATCAAGCCATCTTACAATTCCTTTACTGACTTGATAAGAGAAGTACCAAGATTCAGCCCCACCATTAAGATGTAATACTACAGTTTCTAATTTGTGTTGTGGATCGTTTATGTGATTATAATGGAAATACCTTCCGTATTTTCTCAACCAAGATCTGGGATCACCTTCTTCAAAATTTGGACATTCAACCTTAGAAGAGAAGCCGTTTGCATGGAATCTGCCAATGGAGTTCTCCATATTTTCAACCACTCTTGGTCTATTGCCAGATCCTTCTACATGAGGACCTCCCATGGGTGGACTACCCAGAATTCCATACTTGCTCGCGAAAATGTTTCTCCATCAACACATCCATTTTCCGACCCAAGTCATCCATTTTTGAGTCATTGGACTCCAGTTTCTTATTTGTTTCTGACATATAACTTTGTAACTGCAACTCTAGCTTCTTTACATTAACTGCTGAAGCTTTTGATCGGGTTTCTGGAATCGACATTGTGTCAGGACGATGCTCTGATACCAATTTGTTATGTACTAGACAATTAAGAAGAATTATTGACAAGTAATAAGAAGAATGAATAAAAAGTTTTATTCAATGAGCAATTCAATCGGTTACATTGGTGATTTACATTACTCCATAACATAACCTGTGAGCATGAGAAAAGAGGAAGAGAGTGAGGTAAGAGAGAGTAAAAGGTTAAGACGAAGAGAGAGAAAGTGGTTAAGAAGTTGTCTAACCGTTCAGCTCCCATTTGATATCTTTAATAGGCTGCTCACATATGAGCCTAAATGATATATCGGTATTGGCCGTCCAATACATATGTTCTAATGAGCCCAACGACTTACAACTCAACTTATTAGTGGACTTGGGCTCTTATCTCTTTTAATCGCCTCCGGCCACGTGTCTCAATCTCGACCCTCTATTTAAAATACTGAGACTTATTTCATCTACTTTCCTAATTCTTCACCTACTTTTCCATTTCATACCTAGTAAACTCTGAACCCTACAGTTATATACCTATAAAATATAATATTATACCTATATACATAGTGTAATTATTTGACGAAGGGTGGTCAAGTGACCACCCTTATGACCATGTGGCTTCGCCCCTGTCTCCCACCCGGTATCTTCCCACCAAAAATGGGAAGAATTACCTAGCATTTTTTGTCTTGAAATTTGAACTTTAGTCCCCCATGATTTTCACCTACTTATTCATTTTCCTAATTTTATGTATTTAAGTTCATAGTGACCAATGTATTGTGATTTATAGGCAAATATTGCACTAGTGCCCTAATTGGTCGCCCCCATTTAACCTGTACCCACTTTTTAATTTTTTTAAACTTGTACCTACTTTTTAAACAACTTCATACATTTTTATCCTCTATCTTCTTCTTCTTTGGGTGACAATGATTTTATATGGTATTTGTGAATATATTTTAAGGTAGTTTATGATATTTTACAGTTGTGAGTTGTGTTGGCGCTTTATTTTTTTACTATTGCTTAGGGTTTCTTCTTCTTTTTCTTAATTGCAAGATAGGTTCGTTATATTTTTTGTTGTTTTGACAAATTGATGATTGGGATTTGTTCTTGATCATATTTGGAGGTTATGTTTCAAATTTGAGCTCATTTGGAATAGATTTAGGTATTAAATTGTACATTTGATTGGTAAAATTCAAAGAACAAATTTCTGTTTCTCGACAATTTGCACTTCCGGCCTATTTGGCCTTAAGTGCATAAAAACGTTGGTTGCACTTCAGACCTTTTTGCCTTAAGTGCATCTAAAGTGCAATTTTTCACTTCAGACTTATTGGCCTTAAGTGTAGAAAAACGTTTGTTGCACTTCAGACTTTTTGACTTTAAGTGCATCTGAAGTATAATTTTTCACTTAAGACTTATTAGCCTTAAGTGCATGAAACCATTGGTTACACTTCAAACCTATTTGGTCGTAAGTGCATCTGAAGTGCAATTTTTTACTTCAAACTTATTGGCCTTAAGTGTAGGAAAACGTTTGTTGCACTTCATGTATAGGGTAAAATATGATATGCTAGATGGTTGCAGAAGAGAGTGACACGTGGAGCCGAATGCTGAGGATAGTTAGAACCAAAGACAATTGTTCCATTTATCACCGGAAAGAATGAAGCTCATAAAGATGCAATAAATACCTGCTATTTAGTAACATTTAATGGAGAATATTCTACAACATTTAGTACACTGCTCGTTACAAAGAATTTGTCATTTATGCTCACCGTTACGCATTCTTCAATGGCCTTCATAACTGACATTAAAGAAGGGAATGATTCTAGAACCTTGTTCCCTAACTGCATCTATAAATATTGAGCTCGGTTATCGTTGTAAATGGGACGAACTTTCTGGCAAACATACGCTATAATCAATTCAAAGCTCTATATAATTTTATCTTCTTATTTTTCATTTCATTACTGTTGTGCCCGGAAGCTTCGCTCCCCGAATTACTGTTTCTGCTATTTCGTCTTCATTTCAAGGCTAATTATTGCATATTTTTTCAATTCTTTTATTATTTCAGGATCGAATTAATTTACTTGTCTAGAAACCACGTATAAATTCAACTTTACCGTTTTACAGGTAAACAGTTTGTCACCCACCGTGGGGCCTAGATAACCGTGTAATTAAGTTGATCCTTGCCTCTTTTACTAATGTGTTTTAATTATTTATCTTAGCAAAAAAATCACAAAAATAGCAGATAATGGTGTTAACAACACACGCTATCTTGAGGCTCAAAGAGACCAGCCTCATCACGAGGATTCAGTCAGTGATAGCTGCAATGATGAAAACGATGCTATGCCGGTCCACGACAGGCGGTACCCGCGATATGTTTGGGAGGCGACTCACGATGATGCTGAAGAGGAGCATGTTATTGAAGCGGTAAGGGTCCTGTAAGAGCAACAAGCGGTCATTCTACACCATCTCACATGGCAGGATAAGGTTATGATGGAGTTGAAGCAGGCATTCCCGGGGGCTTCCAATAATGAGAATGGACAAGGTCCAGTTCCTCCCGGTGCTCCTGCGAATCAATCAACACAGAGGGTCGACAACAACACCCCGAGGTGCGAGGTTGGCTCCAATGGTATGGGGGAGCGGATCTGGCCCCCCAACAACGAGAACGATCCCTTCAAAAGCGAACTGTTTCAGTTTATGAGCGGGTTGAACGCCCGCATGGACTAAATCCTGGGTGCACCACCGGTGCTGAAAGGGCCGGACTCAAAGAAGTATACTCATTTGCCGTATAAACCAAGCGCGATACCAAAATTAATCCTGAAGCAGTTTAAAATACCTGACGTGCCGAAGTATGATGGAACGTCAGACCCTCAGGAGCATATTACCACCTATACAACGGCGGTAAAGGGGAAGGATTTAGCTCCCCCACGAGATTGAATTTGTTTTGCTGAAGAAATTCAGAGAGACTCACGAGGGGAGCCTTGACGTGGTATTCGATGTTGCCCGAGAATTTCATAGATTCCTTTGAGATGCTCGCAGACTCTTTTATTAAGGCCATGCCGGGGCCAGAAAGGTGCAGGCCCGAAAGGCCGACATATTAATAATTGCACAAGAAGAGTCCGAGTTGTTACGGGAATTCATCACCCGATTCAAAAAAGAGCGGATGTTGCTCCCGGCTGTTCCGGATAAATGGGCGGCTGAAGCATTCACCAAGGGTCTGAATCCGAGAAGTTCTGACGCTTCCTAGAAATTGAAGGAAAGCTTGCATGAGTTCCAAGTGACGACTTGGGCGGATGTCCACAACCAGTACGAGTCTAAGATAAGGACTAGGGATGATCAGACTGGCTTCCCATCGTCGGCTAAAGGCCGGGAGAACAATAAATAAAAATCAAAAGATAATTTTGACACAGATAGAGAGTCTTCAAGGGGACGATTTTGCCCAACGAACGGGCCGAAGGACTCGGCAGAGGTTTTCGATCGGCAGACACGTTCATTACCGACAAAAGAATTGATCGCGGTAGGAACAACAGACCATTGCAGGACAAAGAAACGTCAGGTACACGGGATCCTTCCTACCCCAGACTATCAGAATACAACTTCAACATTAGTATAGTAGAGTTGGTATCGGCTATGAGGAACATTAAAAAAGTACGGTTCCCGAAGCCGATGAGGTCCGATCCCAGCCAGAGGGATCCCAATTTATAGTGCGAATACCACGAGACAAATGGCCACCGGACTGGGGACTGCCGACATCTGCGTGAAGAGGTGGCAATATTACTAAAAAATGGTCATCTTAGGGAAATCTTAAGTGACCGGGCTAAAAATAGTTACGGTCGTAACCATGATAACGTGGAGCCCTCAAAAGCAGGATAAGATCCCCCGTGCCAGATGATCAACATGATCTTTGGGGGGAACGAGATCAACGAGGTTACCTTCTCGATAGCAAAAAAGATAAAGGTATCAATAACACATAGGAAGAGACTCCGGGAAGTCACTGAAGACGACATCACTTTCACGGAGGAGGACGTAGATGGACTATTGCTACCGCACAATGATGCATTGGTAATTTCTTTAAATGTACTAGATTTTAAAATCAAACGTGTTCTGGTGGATACAAGAAGTTCGGCCAATATCATATAATAAAGGGTGTTGGAACAATCCAAACATACCGGAAGCATCATTCTGACCACAAAACTCCTCCCGGATTCAACCTCGCAAATGTGATAACCCGAAGAGAGATCCTGCTGCCCACGAATGCCCGAAGCGGTGATGAAGACGACCATTTTCGAAGTTGTGGATGGTGATATGGGTTATAACATTATTTTGGGAAGACGTGGTTGCACGAGATGAAAGTCGTACCATCAACGTATCATCAATTACTATAATTCCTAACTCTCGAAAGGATTAAACAGATAAAAGGTGACTAACCGGCGGCAAGGGAGATGAATGCAATTTCGATCTCCAGTAGCAAAGGGAAGCAGCATGCGGCATAGCAATTACAGGAACCGGCGCCAGCGCCCGATTCAAGTGAAGTTAATCAGGGGGAGAAGCATCAGAATCTTATCAGGTGCCAAGATACTTTCAAGTACCAGAAGAGACGGATGCAATAAAGTCCAAAGCAGAAGAGCTCAAGCAAGTTGCATTATTTGAAAAGTTCATGGAGAGGAAATTCCACTTGGGGACATGACTGCACCCCGAGCTCAGGTATGGATTTATCGAATATCGTAAATATAATGTCATACACAAGTTAAGATTGGATCCCAACATCCCTCCAGTAAGACAAAATAAACGCCCTATTGCGGAGGCCAAGAATAAATTCGTCAAAGAAGAGGTAACTCGCCTACTTTATATCGGTTCATTTTGAGAGGTAAAGTATCCAAACTGACTAGCTAATGTGGTAGGAGTTCCTAATAAAAACAATAAATTTCGCATGTGCGTAGATTATAAGGACTTGAATAACGGGTGCCCAAAAAACTCATTTCCCTGCCAAACATCGATCAAATGATTGATGCAATGGCCAGGTATGAGTTAATGAGTTTCCTCGATGCTTATTCCGGGTACAACCAAATTAAGATAAGCCCAGAGGATCGGGAAAAGACTTCGTTCATAACGGATTTCGGC